TGTGTATGTGTGTGTGTATGTGTGTGTATGTGTGTGTGTATGTGTGTGTGAGGGAGGGGGGGTGTTTCGTTTTGCTGTTGGTGTTGTTTTTTTAAGCATAATGTATTTTCAAAGATACGTGACAGCACTGTGTGATGTTGTCAATGCCGATGTTGATGTCCTTCTTTCTGTGCTGTTAGTCCTCGTGATGTTAGAGTTAGGATTGGAATTCAAAGTGTTTACTACACTTGTTATTAATAATAATATCTCTAGTATTAAAAAGCCCCAGTACACGTTTTTGGGACTTTTCTCTCGATCCGTTTTAGCCGGTTCTATCAGATATGGACGTTCTCTCTCTCTCTCTCTCTCTCTCTCTCTCTCTCTCTCTCTCTCTCTCTCTCTCTCTCTCTCTCTCTCTCTCTGTGTATGAAATGACTTTTTTATAGTCTTTAGAAGGGGCGTTAAATACACATCCCATTGTTGTAGACATGGTAGTAGTAGTAGTGGAGGTCATAACGGTAGTGGTAGTCATGGTAGTGGTAGTAATGGCAGAAGTAATAATATTGATGGTGGTAGTCATGGTAGGAGAAAAAGTGATAGTGGTTGTAACGGGAGTGATAGTCACGGTTGTTGGCTGTAGTGATAGTGGCTGTAGTGATAGTTGTTGTAGTGATAGTGGTTGTAGTGATAGTGGTTGTAGTGGCAGTGGTAGTGATGGTAGTGGTAGTCACGGTAGTAGTAGTAGTAGTGATAGTGGTAGTAGTAATAGTGGTAGTCATGGTAGGGGAAAAAGTGATAGTGGTTGTAACGGGAGTGATAGTCACTGTTGTTGGCTGTAGTGATAGTGGCTGTAGTGATAATGGTTGTAGTGATAGTGGTTGTAGTGATAGTGGTAGTAGTGATAGTGGTAGTCATGGTAGTGGTAGTAGTGATAGTGGTAGTCATGGTAGTGGTAGTAGTGATAGTGGTAGTAGTACTGGTAGTAGTGATAGTGGCTGTTGTTATAGCGGTAGTAGTGATGGTGGCTGTTGTTATAGTAGTAGTAATGATAGTGGCTGCTGTTACAGTGGTAGTAGAGAATAGTGGTAGTAGTAATGGTAGTAGTGATAGTGGCTGTTGTTATAGTGGTTGTAGTGGCAGTGGTAGAAGTGATAGTGGTAGTAGTGGTAGTGACTGTAGTGAGAGTGACTGTAGTGATAGTGACTGTAGTGATAGTCATGGTAGTGGTAGTCATGGTAGTGGTAGTCATGGTAGTGGTAGTCATGGTAGGGGTAGTCATGGTAGTGGTAGTACTGATACTAGTAGTAGGGATAGTGGTAGTAGTGGTAGTGGTAGTCATGGTAGTGGTAGTAGTGATAGTGGTAGTAGTGATACATGTAGTGGTAGTAGTGATAGTGGTAGTAGTGATACATGTAGTGGTAGTAGTGATACTGGCTGTAGTGGCAGCGGTAGTCATGGTAGTGGTAGTAATGACAATGGTAGTAATGGCAGAAAAAAATGGTAACCTTGATGGTGGTAGTCATGGTAGTGGTAGTTACGGCAGTGGTCGTAATTGTAGTGGTAGTAATGGTAGTGATAGTAATGACAATGGTAGTCGTGATAGAGGTCCCAGTGGTAATGGCAATCATGAGAATGGTAGTCATAGCACTAACAATAATATTAGTAATGGTAGTTATGACAGTGGTGGTTATGGTAGTAATGTAGTAATTTTTAGTAATGATTGTGGTAGTAATGGTAGTGATAGTAATGTAGTACTTACTTTTACTTTTTCATCCTCTGTTGCCAGTTTGCGTCGAGGGGAGGTGCAGTTTTCTATTGAAGGCCAGCTCCACAGCTTTTTCAATTGGGATATTATTATAAGTTCTCAGGGTTCCCTCGAGTCCTCAATCCACCTTTTGCGTGGCCTTCCTCTTCCTTCTTTACTTGAGTGTTTGGTGTTATAGGCTCTCGAGGCTGGCGGGCTAGGTGACATTCATTACAGGTAGCCAAACCATTTTTTTCTGTAAAATGCAGGCAGGACTCAGTGCCAATAGTTGCTCTTTGAGTTTGCGTTTATTCTATTTCTTTGTCTATGGACCTGTTTACAGAAAAAGTGCTGCCAAGATATTTAAACTCCTTTACCTGTTTCAGTTGTTTACTTTTGACATGGATATTTAGAGGACGACAATTCAGGCTCACTTATGTTTTGGTGTGCTTATTTTCATGTCAAATTTCTCGCAGCTATTGTTCAGATATTGGTGTGATTTTGGAGGCTTTGTTGGTTTGGATGAATAAGACATTGGTCGCCTGCAAATAAAAGTTTACTTAGGCTTTCTGGGCATTGGTTTGCGTCTTGAGTCATTGTGTCCATACAGATTATAAAAAGGAGGGGATAAAACACATCCCTGTCGTACTCCAGACCTCCAGACTGTACTCTGTGAATCAGTCTGTATTGTCTTCCTTTATTCTTACCGAGCTTTCTCTATTAGTATCGTAGTATTGATTGTGGTAGTAATGGTAGTAATAGTAATGTATTAATAGTAGCATAATAGTAGTAATGACTGTGGTAGTAATGCAGTAATGGTGGCGTCGGTGGCCTAGTGGTTAGGCTACCTGACTCGTAATCGTGAGATTGCGGGTTCGGGGGTTCCAACCAAGGGCCCGACTTTGTGTCCTTGGTAAAGGCATTCTACCCGAATTTTCCTCACTTCACTCTGGTGGGAATGGGTATCCGGCCATAGACAGCGAAAGGTCTTGTCAGTGTCAATTGTCAGTATGTTTTAGCGTCTATGAATGGCTGCTTGCACTGTATGCTTCCCAGGAAGTTGAGGTCGTTTCAGAATGCTCTCTGGTCTGCTGGGGTAATAGTATAGATTGTGAAGCTCATAGAGCTTGCTGTTGAGCGGGGATTTGCGCTACATTGTATACAAATGCTATCATGGTAATGGTAGTAATGATAATGGTAGTAATGATATTGGTAGTAATGTTGTAATGGTAGTAATAATTGTTATAGTAATGTAGTAATGGTAGTAATGATTATTGTAGTAATGGTGGTAGTAGTAATGTAGTAATGGTAGTGGTAAAGATGCAGATGAATTAGCTTATAGTGGTGTAAGTAAGAGCAGTTTCAACAGCACTCTTTGTTTTTGCTACTGCTCCTGCTGCTGCTCCTGCTGCTGCTCCTGCTGCTGCTTCTGCTGCTGCTGCTGCTGCTGCTGTTGTAGTTGTTTTGTTTTTGTTGTTGTTGCTGTTGTTGTTGTTGTTGTTGTTGATGATGATGATGATGATGATGATGATGATGATGGTGGTTATAATGATTTTCAGTTGTTTTGTTTTTGTTGTTTTGTTCTCGCTGTTAC